TTTATTTGGTTCTATACATCATACATAAGTTGCAAGTCATTTATTAATTTGTGAAGGAATACATTTATATGAAAGTGGTCTTATATTAGTTTTATTAATTGAACAATTTCTTCCATTACCATTAAATAAACAACTATTACCTAAATATTTACCATTAATTTTATAAATATTATCAATAACAATATCAATTGATATTATTAAAGAAGATTTTAATAATCTTAATTGTCCTATGGATATAACAAGAAAAATTTATGCACAAATGCTTAAAAATATAACTTATAAAAAATGATTACCATTTATGATGTCACCGGTATATTTTAGTTTAATTTATCGAAATAAATATATAGCTATATGTATAATAAAAATTTTAATCCAATTAAAAGAAATGTTTTTTTTTACTTTGACATTGTTTATGTGCTAGTAATAGATGAGACTTTTGAATAATTCAAAACTTCGAAAAATATTTTGAAATAGAAAATATGCAGAATTTCAGGTAATACAAATCGTAAAGGAAAGCATTTAAGCTACATTAATACAATGACCGAATAATTCCTCTCGAATCTTATTGATCAAATTCTCAGTCGTGCTATTTGTACTATTACAATTAAAGAAAACGACGTCTTTCTAATATTATATTTTGAAATAAATTGCATTCGAGAATTTCGATAAACTTTCTATAAGTTTGAACTCGTGAACTCCGAAAACGTATTGGATTTTTTCCACAGCATTAAATTTTTAGGATGATTCTTATAGTAAATGAAAATTGATTTGAGAAGATAAGAAACAATATAAATCTGTTCTTTGTTTGTTTTCCTAGGATTTTGTATAGTTATATAAAATGAAACAAATTAAAATGACATTGAAACAACACATAATACAATTTATGAAAAAAGTCTTTTATCATGCTTCTAATAATCAACCATATTCAATTGCATTCATAGATTCTCTATCAATATATTTTGATAAAATACAAAACTATGTTGAATTAACATGTCAATTTTCAACAGGTGATATACATGATTTATTACGTTTTATAATATTTATATCAGAAATAATTTATATAAATATATTTCAAAAAAAAAAACATCATTTCTTAGTTGTGAAACAGATCAAATAATATCATGTTGTACATTATCGAAAACACTATTATGAATATTTGAATATCTTTATCAACGACATGGTTTAACTATATCAAATATATTATAATCATATTTAAATTTAATTGAACCAGATAAAAGATCATCTTTGTTATTTAACAAAAAAAATTATATATATCATATATTTATTGACATGATTTATATTGTATAGCTATATTATTATTTTGTTTACCAATATTTATATAAAGACAATTTTGGAGTTGGTTGATTATTAAGCATACAATTTCAAGAAATATAGGCTTCATTTTTAGCTTCAATTAATTCACCACAAATCAATCTAATGATGAAAATAAACAAACAACAAATAATTGTAAAAAAAAAAGAAGAAACTTTAGAAACAAATGCAACACAATGGTAACAAGATTGAAAAATAAACTAGATTTTATCTGTTCTTTTTTTATCAATATTAGATACAAGTTCAAATAATTTATTTACAAATATTGAACGATTAGGTACACGTGATTTATTATCCTATGAACAACTTTCATATGATACTATATTAACATCAATCCAAAGTAATAATACATTACCATTATCAGTTAATGTAAGTCTCACATATGTTTTAATAATCGACAAATAGAACTCTAAATTAAAAGAAAGATAAATTCATTGCTAAATTATTAATTTCATCAAACAGAAAATCTAGTGTTTCTCTGACTTTGATTTGATATATAATACATGCAAATTATCTTATTTCATAGAAATAAAAGCTTATATCAATAGTTTCAAATAAATTCTATCAATCAGAAAATTAGAGTATGAACATTTTCTTTTCTGGCATCCATCTTTAAAAATATATAATTTAGAGTTTATTTGATTGCTTATTTTTTCATCATGGTTTTGATTTAACATTATCATTACAAATTCTAATTGAAATATATGTAATATAAATTAATAGGTTCAATTATATATCTATCTGATTTATTTCCATTATCATAACATTTATCAAATTTATATGATGAAAATTTTTGTACATGGTTTGATGAAGATGATTTAATAATATCCTTAATAAGTTATAATTTATGTAAATCTAATATATTACTTGAACAAAGAACTAAAGAATATAATGAATTATATATAAATTTAATTGAACGTAATTATAAATTAATAACTAAAACTCATGCATATACATTATGTTTATTTTTACTTGAAAGTCATGAAGTTGATTTAAATTCATATGATATTTGATTATCATTAATTAATGATGATAATTTAACACAAAAAATTATATCAATTAGTCTTGAAAAACTTTTAATAGTTGGTCAATATCCCAAAAATGATATATGGTGTTAATACTTTCACGTATTTATACATTATTACAACGACCAAATAAAAATACAAATCCATTAAATAATGAACATGTTAATAAAGAACAAACAATAATTGATAGTTCATCAATAATATCATCATCAGATAATATTCTTATTGAACTTGTTGAAGAATTATATGCACATACAAAACAATCATCAACATTACCATATGAAGCTTTACTTTTATTACGTCCTTTATCATTATTACTTGCACACATTAGTTTTTTTTTCGTGCTTTAATTAATGCCCGTTATTCAGCTAAAGTTAATGAATGGACTTTATTATCAATGACAAATATTGCACAAAGAAAAATCACAATGTATGGCTTTATGGGAGTTAACTTGTCTTATGTTAAGTGCATGTCTATCACAGGGTGTGGGTATGGATGAAGACAAGACCTATAATGATATCCACACCCACACCATCTTATGAGTAAAATTCTGCCTATGGTTAAATATTCTTCCGAGTTTTCTTTTAAAAAATTATCAAGACTTACACATACGATTAAAATTTATTTGGAAAAGATTAATAGTAAAACATTAATGAAAAACAAAAATTCTTTATTGCTATCCGAAGGAATGACGATCAATACAAAATCAATAAATTTCGCCATGAAATGTCAAAATGAATTTTCATTGATAATATTGTATATCTTTTACTTTTTTTAGGTTTTTATTGATGTTATTACGTTTCAGTGCTCGTTTTGAAGAATCAGACAATCGTTTATTTCTTATTGCTGATCAAAAATAGTATCTGCAGGTATATTAAAAGAAAACTTGAAAATATCAATTGTATCAACAAAAAAAACAAAATCTATTTTATTTATTTTAGTTAACGAATATTGAACATTGACGTCAATTTGAACAAGCATTCATAAATGAATCGAATCTAGAAAAATTATATGCTGATTTACTTGAACACATTCAAAATAAGGTGTGGATGTAGATGTTGTTTGGATATGTTGATGAATCATATACTCTCTCTCTCTGTCATCCATACCCACATCTCCAATAAAGACTAAAAATATTAATTCATAAAATGGAAGCATAGCAACAAGAATTAATTTATCTACTTTTTTCTTTTTATTAGAATCGGTCTCTATTATAACAATCATATCTAAATTTTCTAAATCAATCAGAATAGATTGTCATTTATTTTGTGCTCTAATTTCTATTTGACTTATTGATTTATATTTCATATCGTATGTTTTATTATGATTTCAATCATTGATTTAACCAGTAAATAAGTCGATTACATGTATCCATTAAACATATTTTAGCCATTGAAGTTTTAACGAAGACTTTTCTAAGCCATGTTGTTAGAGTTTAAGAGAAAGTTGCACAAATCTGGATTAAAACTTGCATTGAAAACCAGTACTTTTAATAATATCAAGAAGAATGTGAGTATAGATGTTGATATCTTGTTTAAACATATCTACAATCTTTGAATCGTTTTGGTTTAGTAGATTATATGTAAAAGCAGCTATCATACTTCATCCTATTGAACGGTTTTCTGAAAATCCATTGAAAATGATAAATTCAAAAAGTCTCACACTACACAATTGTTTCTTTTTATTCAAATAACAATTCTTTTTTCTTGATTTATTATGGGATATTATTAAGCGGTCAGTAAAATAAATGAAATGGTCAGTAAAATATATGAAATGATCAGTAAGATAAATGGTCAGTAAAAAATGTATAAATGATCAGTAAAAAGATTAAATGGTCAGTACTTAGATTATTACTCATATAAAAAAAAGATTGGAAAAAATCTGATTTTAATCGATTTTTTTGTGATTAAAAATCGATTAAAATGGGACAGTTTTAACCAGGTTTTTAATCAAACTAGTGATTAAAATAAATTAAATTTATAAATATCCATTTTAACCGATTAAAATTTTTTCATTGACTATTTTACTCAATTTTAGTCAGATTATTCGATTTTTAATCTATTAAAATCGATTAAAATTTTTAAATCGATTTTAATCAATTCTAATAGTTTTTCTTTTTAAATGAATAAGTACCAATTGATATCGAGTCTTGAAGCATGGAATTTATGTCAAAGGTTCATCTAGCATCATATCTACTAATTTTCCGAGGCAAGGAGTCCGAAAAAGTGATCGAACATCTGAGTTTGCAACATAAAGTTTGAGAAAACGCATTTTACCGTCGCCGCCATTAAAATTAATATTTATAAATTTAATTTATTTTAATCACTGGTTTGATTTAAAAAATCGATTAAAATTAGATTTTTTCCAATCTTTTTTTTATATGAGTGATAGTCTAAGTACTGACCATTCAATCTTTTTACTGATCATTTATATACTTTTTACTGACCATTTATCTTACTGACCATTTCATCTATTTTACTGATCATTTAATTTATTTTACTGACCGCTTAAATAGTAGCCATTTATTATTCGTACTTTTTATTATTTTGTTATCAATACAAAAAAATTTCATAATAAAGAAAAAAATTGAATATTTTAATGTAAAAAAGCAATTCATCATTGACAGTATTTGACGATAACTATCAGAAAAGGAATCAAACCAACTTCCACAGGTTCGAGTTCAGTTCGATACCTGACAAGCGCGGTATTATCCTGTAAAATTATTTTAGATTGTAAATTTCTGAGAATTTTTTTAATGAAAGGCATAAGTTAAAACTCAACAATACAATCATCAAAATGCATGATTTCAGAAAAAATAAATCATAAATAACGAAAATTCGATCATCACTAAAGAATATTCTGTAAGAAAATGATCGCAACATGTTCCTGTTACATTCTAAAGATACTTAAAGGCTTGTAAACACATTCTAGAATACTTCAAACATATTTAGATTTTATTTTAAATTTATTTAACTTTTTTAAAATTTATTTCTGAATTTTTGGTAAATGTTTATAAATGTAACCTAATCGCTTTGCAAAATATTCCATCGAACATCGTTTGATAATCGCATATAACATCACAACTTTACAAAAATGATTATATCTTAGCTAATCATTTTTTTTCATATGCCTATCTATATTTGTTCATTTTTTCAAAATTACAAATATCTGTTTATGGAAGAAGTCGTTGTTTCAATGAATAGTATGATGCTGAATCCTATTCTATTTTCATTACTGAGAATAGGAAAGACGATTAGCTTCAAAACTTTTTTCTCACAATCTACTTTCGTGATTCAAATTTTGTGTTCTAACTTATTTAACTTTATTTCAAATATTTTTTTTGTTGTTGACACAGTAAACTTTGCATACATGTGGCGAAATAAAATAAAGAAATTTTTTCTCATAAAATTTAGTTTTAAACAGAAATATATGCAATAAGGTGTGAGCTTTCGGTTCATCTACAAAGCCATACATTCTATTGTCCAGTAATTCGTTGTATTCTTCACTTTTTATTCTGGAGAAGTATTTCTTTTTTTTTTTTATTTTTGGGACAATTATCAATTTAGTTTGCGTTTTGTTTCAACAAGCAAGTCGTTGCCAATCTTCTAGATTAAGAAAATATTTTTCCACAGTTACAGTTTATTGTCTGTCTCTTCTGAATAGATCAATCAATCTCATTCACATTTTTCTAGCTAATAATTGTCATCAATATCTACTTTTAAGAATCATCAGGATCATAAATTCGATCATTCGATTTTATTGTAATATAAGATTACCTGATTTTCTCCAACATGACATTTCTTGAACTCTTGCAAAGACATTCTTTCTCAGACATTCGCCATCGACAAAATTGAGAAACTCTAAGATATTATCAGTTAAGTCTTCTAATTTTAAATAAATATATTTCTACTGAATAACTGAAAATTCAGATAAAATTAGAATTGACTTATATCACAAATATTCACTCTATTCGTTAATTAACCTTAAGAAAATCTTATATTTTATGTTTGAATATTTGGAATATAAATTTTTCAAAAGTTATTCAAAAGAAAAAGAGAACTTTGCAAGGTTACGATCTTTAAAATGATGATGCTGAAATCTTGCAGAACGCTGGTAGAAATAGTTAATAGTTATGTTATTGGTTGTATTAAGAACTATGCATTGAAAAGAAAAACAAAAAAAAACATGTCTGTTAACTTCTACTCAAGTATTCGGTAGTCAAAGAAACATTTGAATCATTAGCCTTAATAGTTATTTCCATACAATGTAGTATTTATACGTAAAGTTTTTGATTGCTAGTAAATCTATCAATAAAAATCTTGAACAAACTGTTCAAATTCTTCTGAAAAATCATGATTTTTATAAATTTACTTATGCGCTCATATAAAAAAATGTGTTTTTTCTTAACTACTGTTTCCTCGTACATTGAGATAAGTTCAGTGAATGATAAAGTTAATTTCATCAACTGTTGTCTTTTAAAGAAGACTCATGATTCCACAGACTATGCATGCCTTTTTCTTTTCATATCGAATATAATTGTTGTTGCTCTTTTCAAGGAACTATTGCCTTTAGTCAATTACTTTTTAGTTAAATAAAAGCATCAAACTTTGATAGCATTTGATATCAATATTTTAGAAGTAAATCATCAGTTGAGAAGAAAGTTAGGAGATTTACTAAACTTTCACTTTGATCTGATTATCTATATATGACTAAATCAATTTGTTTGATCTGCCTTCTCTATTTCTTTTTGCAGAGATCTTTTAAAGTTCTACAAAAGATATCTTTTTCTCTATTGCATTCATATTATCAATTTTGAGTGAATAATTTCATCTTATATTTTTGAGAAAAATTCTTTCTCATAACATCAGTATGTCTTTCACCTCTACAAGTGTTTTATACGAGACTTATCATT